TTAGAAGTAGGTGAAATTAATCTTTTTAATCAAATTTTGTTAATTTTATTTAAGGTTTTAAATGTGTTTCTCAACTAACATTGAAGAAAAAATGTGTCAAACAATGTAAACAACTCAAATGCTATCATGAAATACATTTGAAACATCAAATAAACTTAATAAATTTTGGTTAAAAAGACTAAATCTACCCATTTATAAAATTAAAGAACTAAGTTGGACCAAAATTTCTAAGAGGGACTATTCTAATTTTAAAAAAATTTAAGAAAAAAAAGACATATTTAACCCGATTAATTTTAGAAACTTAAGTTTTTGAGATTATATTTACATGTATTTATATATTGTAAATTAATTTTGTCTTTAGTACACATGAAATCCTTTAAGATAAAGTAAGTTGAAAATATATTAAAAATTAGATATTAAACTTTTCAGAAATAACACTTTAATATATATAATTTTTTTACCTTCATTTAATACTACTATTTTTTTTTAAAATACAAAAATTCATTTTTTTTATAACTACTTGATCTTTATAATGGGTGTAAAATAAATATAAATATATGTCATTATATTGTTACTCTAAACTTTATATTTAATTAGGTAAGGAACAATAGCAGTTAAAACCTAAGGTACAATTTTGACATAATGTGTTGAGACATATGCCCATGTCACTACCAAACCTATGATATTTCTTCTTCTTTCGGTTTGGTTTAGAATAAAAAAGAACAGGGAAGAATGATGTCACTCTTAAATAGCTTTATTAAGCAGTTGGAGTTTGGTGATCTATATTGCAACCAATGTGATTTGATTGCACATTTTGACCTTTATATTTGTTATGCGGGACCTCTTGAAATGAAGTAGGTATTTTCTTGTTAGAATTACAAACAATGGTCAAATACAATTTCAAATTTTCATATTAAAGATGCATTTAAATGTAAAGACCATATGCTTCGTTGTAAAGATGGGAATTGCACATAAAAACCATTAATTAAAATAGACACAAACACCTTTTTTTTTTCTTTTTTACAATTATGAGTCATACCTAATCTAAATATTAGATCATAGTCTAAGAAAATTACCATATGTTCCAAGATATAGGTATTTGTTGCCGAAGACCCTTCCAATTCGAGCTTCCCATCTTCCATTATGGTGGTGTCTAATCATTTTAAACAAAAATTCAGACTATTTTTCTTCAATCTAACTAACTATATACAGAGAAATAATGGTTCAGTAACGTGCTTTTAAAACACGTTACAAAAATAAAATAATTATAAAAAAATAAATTTTTGTATTTAAAAAATACAATAAAAAAATTAAAAAACAGGGTCAAATGTATAAATTTATGTGTGTTGAAATATCATTTTTCTATATAAAGAGAAAAAGGGAATGAGGGAGAAAGTTTATGTTTATGAAAATTAACTTAAAAGTTAGAGACATTGAAAAACTTGTTTGGTATATATGATTGTAATTTCACACTTATTGTATTTTACATAATTGATCTTTAAAATATGAAATTTTAATAAATGTCCACAACTAATGGTGAGAACTCACTACTCTTTTAGCACAAAAATATTGTTCAATAATTATAAATGTATATTTTAATTTTTCTTATATTTATTTTGCTTTTTGTATTTTTCTTCTCTCCCTGAGAGAATCCATCTAAAATGGGATATTTTATTAATTTTATTTTTCCTAATTGCCTCCAAGAATATTGGATACTACCTGCAAACTAACTCATTTATTGTACTTCAAAAGAAATAATATTTTATATAATTTACACTATTTATCCTTTCGTCTATCAATAGACTGACTTTTATTCAGCTACTCCCTTTAATTTCTTTTAGAACTGATACAATTACTACATTTATATATTTTAAAAATATATATATATATATAAAATGTCACGAAACCTAGCATTTTCCAAACAAAACAGAGCAAGGTTGGAATACCTTGCTACACCTCGGTATTTTGAAACTCCTCGAGAAAATCCACTGCTTTTTCTGCAAAATGAAAATTGAATATAATAAGAAACAACTTCAACAGTTCCAAAAATAAAGAAGACAGAGAAAAAGCTTCGGAAATGCATTATCATGTGTAGAAATTAATGGAATTAATAACTGAAAATCAACCTTCTCAAGGATCCAATGTATTCTTCTTTCGATTGACCCTCCATTTCCTTCAGCTTCTCCTCATAATTTGTTAACTGTGACCAAAAACATTGATCGATCAAATCTGATGTATGAACAACAAAAGTTGTTTATCGAAACATCATTTGAATCAAAGGTGAGAAAAATAATACTGGAAAATTGAGAATGGTATCTTGGCCCCAGTACTTCAATGCTGCCAAATCATAAGCACGTGCTGCGGCTTCTTCATCATCATACGCCCCTAACAAAGTCCATCGCAATCAATTTTCAATGCCAAAAATTAAGGAAGAAAAAAACAACATCAATGAAAGTTACCATGATTCATATCATACCTAGATACACTGCATCAACGGAGTTGTTTTCCATTGCCGGAACACAATCAACATGACAACATAAATCATGTGAAGAAAATCAGAAACAGAGAGAGAAGTGATAATGAAGAGATGAAATTAAAAAAGCAGCAAACCTTGTCTTCCTTTCTTGCTCTGCGATTCATTCCAACAGTTTTTGTCCCAGAGATGAGCCTCATACCGACCAGTCCAACGATGTCTGAAAAAAAAAAACCACATGCATGCAAACAAGCTCATGAGCCATTTGAGGAGAAGACAGCATTATGAAACACGGGAAAGAGCTAAGAAAGAAAACGAAAAAGAAAAATGTCAGAGACATAGATCTGGATTGATGAGTAGACAGTGAGAAGTGTTGTTATAATTATAACCTTGTGACACCCCTATAGATTGAACTTCGTTGTGGTGGTGAGTCTCTCGGAACGGTTTTGCGTGTGCGTTTTGCAGTGTTGTTGTTGGTGTCAGTGTTCTTGAGGGTTTTCTGCGATTTTCTGGCCATGAAAACTCAGCAGAGAAGAGAGGACCACTGCAGTGCATACAGTTCGAGAGGGTTATAAATATGACCAAGTCATCCAATAAAAAAGGCATTAATTAATAGAAATAGTGAGGGAATGAAAAAGTAGGTTTATTCTTTATTTCTCCCATAAATAAATTATATAATTTAATAATATATTTATTCACATTTTATTTTCCTTTTTATTGTTGATGCAGTAGCGGTTAGTGGTTGAACACACAGATTCTTCAGGATGGAAAGGAGTAATAATCTCTAACACTTCATTAATACTTTTTCTGTATTTTACTTTTCTATCATATCATTAATGCTTTCATAAACTTTTTCATCCATTCTTACATTTTTTAATAAGTTAATATTATTGAGTTTTTGTAATTATATTTTTCACTGTAAAACTGCTTCTGGTTGGGTAACCTATTCTCTTTTAAAGAATGAAAAAAAAAAAAGTAAAGTCAATGTGGTTACACGAAACCTAGGCAGTTAGTTTAGCTAACATAATCAATGAATTGCAACAATATTTTCTAATTAATTTTTATATCATAAGAAAAATACTATTTTTGAAGATTTGTATGTAAAAGTTATATTTTTTATTTTTGGAAAATAACTCTCTTTTGACCATTAAATTTAAAAAATATTAGATTAAATTAGTTTTTTGTTTTTAAGTTGTTATAAACAAATTATATTTGATATTTAAATTAAATAATAAAATATTTAGTTCTTACGTTTTATAAAAGTCATATAAGCTATCTATCTAACTAACGATCTAACAAACAGACGATTTCACGTATCTATGATTGACCTATTAAGGTGTTGTAGAGATGAAAACTTCTTTAAGATAGAAGAACAAAATACTTTATAATTTAATTTAAGAATTATATATATATATATATATATATATATATATGGGGTTTGCTAACGCGCGTACGCCTGTTTTTCAGTTGGTACATTTTAGCAATGTGTACCGGGTTTTAGTAGACAAAAATATCCTTATATATCATGGATTCCAAGTTTTAAGGTTAAGGGTATTTTAATAATTTTCATTCTCAAAACTAAAAAAGGAAAAAAAGAAATCCCCCAAACCCTTACTCACCTCTCTCATTCCTCTCAACTCTTTCTCTTTCCTCTTTCTCACTCCAATCTTTTCTCTGTCATCCCTACTGTAGCCCCAATTGAAAAAATCAGAAACACTTGCTGTTAAACAATCTTACAAAAAAATGATTTTATAATGAGTTTTCATCTTATAATTTTTGTCTTATCTAATTTTATCCAATTTTTACAAGCATAAAGGAATTGATAATTGACGTGGAAAAAAATCAGAAATACTTGCTGTTAAACAATTTCTTACAATTTTATAATGAGTTTTTATTTTATAATTTTTGTCTAATCTAATTTTATCTAATTTTCACAAGCATAATGACATCAAAGGAATTGGTAATTGGCCTGAAAAAAAATTAGAAACACTCAGTTGTTAAACAATTTCTTACAAAAAATGACTTTATAATGAGTTTTCATTTTATAATTTTTGTCGTATATAATTTTATCTAATTTTCACAAGCATAATGACATCCGAAAGAATTGGTAATTGGCCTGGAGGGTTTTTTTAGAGATGATGATTCAACAAATACAGATGATGAAATTAGAGAGGTTAGTGTCGTATATAATTTTATCTAATTTTCACAAGCATAATGACATCCGAAAGAATTGGTAATTGGCCTGGAGGGTTTTTTTAGAGATGATGATTCAACAAATACAGATGATGAAATTAGAGAGGTTAGTGAAGATGGTGAAATTGAAGAGATCTTGAATGAA